ACTACACTATTGCTTGTGCCTGTAAAAAAAGCAAGGGTAGCCATCATGTTTTGTACTACAACTCCCAGACCATTGGTTACATTGGCTGGAATGGATGGAAGTTTTACTCCAAAGCATCTGGAGGGCACCATGTTATAACTCTTTGATATTGATCATTTTATAGAATCCTGATACACCTGATAGGCTAAAAGGTGAAGAAACATTGCCCTGAATGCATTTTCTTTTCTGGGTGTATTCTCCCATAATTGTTATATTAATTATCACACTCGTGTTTTATTTATTTATTTTCTTTAAAAATTATATATTGTCTTCCCCTCACCATGGAATCCAAGGCATCATACAGGTGTTTCGGGCACTAGCCAGACCCAGAGCTGTTTGGCATCAACAAGGTGGTGGCCTCATGTTGCCTTCAGACCATGAAGGCACAGTAGCTATATTTAATCTGTTATTTGGAGTTGGAAAAAATTCCCTCCCCCACCCCAGATAAGACTTGCAGAAGACCATAGAGGGTTTAAAAAGAAAAAGAAAAAAGCGAGGAGCTGTTAGTCCTTCCACATAGCAGTCCAGGACTCCTGCTGTAAGACCTACCTGCTGTTGTGCCTTAAAACAGTTAGTTATTTTCTCTTTTTGGTGAGCTCAATATCTTAACATTTTTCATTCCCATTTAGTGCAATTTCAGGAACTTTGTGGATCAATTTTTTATTATGATTTCAAACTTTGCTAATTATGCCACATCTTATATTGAATAGGTTAAGTCAAACAGTCATGTTGTAATTTTAAAAGCAGACACTTTTCTATGCATAATAAACATCAAATTCTTTTCACACAGGAAGGGGTATATATTTATGGATTGTACTTGGATGGAGCTGGATGGGATAGACGTAATAATAAACTCACTGAATCAACTGCGAAGATTCTTTTCACTGTGCTTCCTGTTGTGCATATATTTGCGATTAATACAACTGGCCCAAGAGACCCTAAACTCTATGTTTGCCCCATCTACAAGAAGCCAAGGAGAACCGATTTGACCTACATTACTGCAATCTACCTAAGGACAACTGTCTCTCCCGATCACTGGATACTGAGAGGAGTAGCCCTCCTGTGTGACGTCAAATAAAGCCTGATCCTTTGATTTTGACAAATACACCAAAATAAGATATATCAATCATTTAAACTTTATTATTAAAGGGGCACACTTTTTTTTTCATTATTAACTATTCTCTTCCCCCAGAAAGTCTCATTTGCTTTATAATTCCCAACAATTCTACTTTGTACAGTTATGCTTTGGTATTCTGACTTTTGTCAACTACATTAAAATTTTCTCTTGCCAAACAGAAAAATCTAGTTTTGCGTTTTAATATCCCAAGCTTTCCACTTACTTTTTTATTGTTAGTGGAACATATTAGCCTAGTTAATGAAAGAATTATGCTGTATTTAGATTTAGTAGCCCACACATTGGGAAGATCAGTGGAACTAAACCGGCACAAATCCAGGTACCCTATTTTGACTTTTTTGTGAATCAGACTGCCTATCAGAAACTGTTGAATGGATATAAATCTTTACCATAATACAAATTGTTAATCGTTTTTTCTCTCTGAAAAAGACAAACCACTTACACCAACACACTTCTTTCTAAGCAAATTTTTGCTGCATTAAAGACAATGGAATTAAATAAAATGAAGTTACAGAAACGGTGGCTTAAGTGAGCTATTCATCACAGTCAACATAAACAGGATAATGGTTGATACTGCAATATATTTGATTGGGGAGATTTCCTTCTCAGGAACTGCCCCCACCCTCTCTGCCACTACTTTCAGATGTGCTTACTGGAGAGCAAACGCTAACAGTACTTGGCCCAGCAAAAGTATTCTGCATACCTTTGATAGTCAACAAGACACATTTCCTTCTAACCCTGGAAGAACTTGTCAGATACCAGAATGCTTACCAATTATAAATACTTGTAGGTAAATGCTATTCATTTGTCATTTGGATCCTTTGAGTTTGCTTTGAAGTTGGTTTGGTGATACAAACTGTGTGTGTGTATTTTAAGTTCCAGTAAATATAGAACCAAACACAGCCTAATCTAAAGCCAAGAGTCACATATTTATTGGGGTGTGTGTGGAGAGAGTTCTTATTCATTCTGAGATCAATAATGATTTCTCTCTTCTGGTTAGTAAAAAAGAAAAAACGGATTTTGTTCACAGCACTGCGAGGACACAGAGTTTAAATACTGTAATAATCATTAAGTGACCAGGTAAGATGAGACATTTATTATTAATCCTAATGCAGAATTTGTTCAGAATTCACCTCTCAGAGTCCTAGGGCAGAAGAAATCATTGACTAAGCCGCCAGGGTTTGTGAGTCAAGTGGCTGATTGTCATTGCACTCAAGCACCTGTTCACTTCAGTCAAAGAAACAAGCAGTAAGTAGGATGCTTACTCCACGGGAAGCCAATTGCAGCTGGTAAGTGTTTCAATATACTTGCGGTTCACCTTTAATATATAAAAGCAGTCTGACAGGCAGAAGTAATATCCAAACCCCCTCTGGAATCTAACCAAACTATATCAGATGTGGTTATGCAGTGTTGTGAAACAGCCAACCAGGGAACCTGTCACTATGCTCTGAGGTTTAGGCTCCTCATGCAAAGGAACTGCTCTTTAATGTTTAACACTGGAAAAGATACAGGGAATCTTCACAGGATGGGTGCCTGGTAGGGGAGATAGAACAGCCCCCTTGTCTGACATCCCGGAGGACTGCTGCAAGTTGATGTAGACACTACTGAATTAGATGGATGTTAGGAACATATTAGAAGAGGACATAAATCCACAGGTTTCTAAGTCTTCCCCTTTTCAGATATCCTGCTGCCCCAAAATGCCCCTAAACTATACCAGTTCTGGAGCTGGCCTGGTAATTTCCCACCCATTGGAATCAATGGGAGGGACAACCAGAAGGGAAAAATCCAAAAGCACAGACTCTTCTTACCTTCCAGCCAGGCTGCCATGAACATTTGGGGCTTTGGGTCTGGCACTGGATAGGTAACAGCATTATACAGAGTCAGATCATTGGTCCACCCAGCTCAGTATTGTCCACACTGACTGGCAGTGGCTCTCCAGGGTTTCAGGCAGAGTTCTTCCCCAGCCCTACCTTGAGACACAAGGGATTTAACCAGGGACCTTCTACATGCAAGGCAGATGGGATGCTCTACCAATGGAGTCCAGTCCTTCCCCAAGGAATCCCCTCCCTCCTGTTAGAATTGCTCAGTACGTTGCAGGAGAAGCTTGTGAGAGTGAATATCAACTGACTTGCTATGGGCTTTAGGAAATGGGAACAGTATATATTTCTTACTGAGATAAGTTCTAAGATATTATCATGCAAACAGGATTCTCCTGAGTGCGAAGCATTATATTTCTAAAACAGCACCATCTACACACAAGGAGAAATATGCAAGCTTAGGGGACTCCCCAATGCTCGCTGAAGTACACACTTTAAAAAATAGGGGGGGGGGGGAGGAAGAAAGAACCACCAAAACAACCCACTGAGGAATGAGCAAGATTGCTGCATGGGAGATGTGTGCTTGGAATGCATTATCCTGGAACAGGGCATGGCTGGCGGGAACCCTGAACATTTTGTTGCAGGCTCTACTTGTTTTTGTAGAGCACTGAATTATAACTGCTGCCAGGCAAACATCATCTGGCCATAAAGGAAAAATGTTCTGACTTCATTTCTGATATACAGATTTCAGATCTCTAAATGGTTCCCCCCCCACCCCCAGCTTGAAGTAATGTGCTCCGTGGCTCATAAGTCTTGGCTTCTAAACCAGGTGCAATAGCATTTAGTGAGCTCAGGGGGCTCCTCTGTTTCTGTTTCCAATTGTCTCTGTAAGAAATGAACTTAAACACATCTATCTGCTACTGCTACAAATGTCAGATTTTAAGTATCCTAAGAGGTTATCCCCCACTTATCAACAGCAAATCAAGTACCCCTTGGAGCCCCAAAGAATTGTAATTTATCAAGACCCTTGGCTGTCCTTTCTGATGTTGTTCTGGACAACACCTCCCCAAAACTCAATTTAAAGCTGCTCTTAGAAGTGGAGTACAGATTTCCCTATAGTAAAAAGTCATCTGGCATAATCTCCTTGGAGGTTTTCACAAGGTTCTGCAAGTCACAAATGCAGGAGATATTTATGGCATTTTCTCCTTGAGTAAAGCAAGGTAAATGTGCAACTTCTTTGTATTTGATAGGTCACATAGAAAGTGTCACGTCACTTTCTGGAAAGCTTTTGCCGCAATACCTGGGTCCAACCCTTTTAAACTCTGCTTTAACCAGAAACATGGATGACTGCAAAACTACGGGCTGACACAAATGTTGCATTTAAAAAAATGAGGGAAAGGATGTATGTTTACCATATTGCACCTAGAATTTCTCTAAGTACACAAATAATAATGTGGTGCACAATGCTTAATTTAAAACTATGCACAATAATTCCAAAATCAATAAAAACAGCAGACAAAAGCAATGGCAATGCCAAAGCTCCAAAATTATCATGTAAAATAAAATGGAAAAGGAACAGCAAAATAAATAGGGCTTTACTTCAACCGTGTAAATAAGCCTACAAATGTGTTTTTTTATGAGCCTGTGATTCCATGCTGGCTGCAGAGAGGAGAATTTTTATTTTTTTTGCAGCAGGATGGAAATGCAGGATCCTGGCCTCTATGAAGGCTAGTGGAAAACATTGTCTTCTAGCAAAAATGCTGGTAGGGAAGTGACAGAAGTGAGGGATGGGATTCCCTTCCTCCACAGCCAGCACAGAAACCAAGCATGCTGGTGAAGTAGGGCTAGAGATCCAGCCCTCCTCCATGTAGCAAGCCTTAGTTTCAATTCCTGGGATCTCCAGTCTCTGTGTGTGCATCAATAATACTGGGCTAGATGGTCAAATAGTCTGAACTGCTATAAGACAGTTCCTTATTTTAAATGAACAATTTGGGGCCTTATTTTATGGAGGCCCATAGCTCAGTGGTAGAGCATCTGCTGGGCATACAGAAGGTCCAATATCCAATCCCTTGCAAGGCCTGCCCGAAAAGCTAGATGGCCACTGCCAGTTAATGTAGACTACACTGAACTAGCCCCTTCATGGATCACTGCCTTGCCGTGGTGAAGGGGCTTGAATAACTCAGAGAAGCTATGAGCTATACCGTGCAGGGCCACCCAAGATGGACAGGTCATAGTGGAGAGTTTTGACCAAACGTGATCCACCTGGAGCAAGAACCGGCAAGCCACTCCAGTATCACTACCAAGAAAATGCCATGGACAAAGACAACAGGCATATAAAAGTTATGACAACCTCATGAGAAGAGAAGACTCCCTGGAAAAGACCCTGATGTTGGGAAAGATTGAGGGCACAAGGAGAAGGGGACGACAGAGGACGAGATGGTTGGACAGTGTTCTCAAAGCTACCAGCATGAGTCTGACCAAACTGCGGGAGGCAGTGGAAGGCAGGAGTGCCTGGCGTGCTCTGGTCCATGGGGTCACGAAGAGTCGGACACGACTAAACGACTAAACAACAACAACACACTGAACTAGATAGTTGCCTATTGCTACTAAGAGGTGTTAAATACAGTGGTACCTCGGGTTAAGAACTTAATTCGTTCCAGAGGTCCATTCTTAACCTGAAACTGTTCTTAACCTGAGCTACCACTTTAGCTAATGGGGCCTCCCGCTGCTGCTGCCACGTGATTTCTGTTCTCATCCTGAAGCAAAGTTCTTAACCCAAGGTACTATTTCTGGGTTAGTGGAGTCTGTAACCTGAAGTGTCTGCAACCTGAGGTACCACTGTATAAGGCTGCTTTACTCCCTTATGCATAAACCAACACCATGGTTGCACACTCGTCCCTCAAATACCTCTTTCCCTCCTTTCAGCATGTACTAGCTTTGGTGTGCAGATCCTGGCTTACATCAAACCAGAGCTCCCCATAACATCCATAATGTTGTTTAGCAAACTAGATTAGTCAGGACTGGGTCTCTCTCTGATCTGATCCTGGCTTCTCATCCTGTCTTACTAACTGACATTGATACAGAGTTTCCCAGGTTGGACAGCATGGGGAACTGTGGTTTCATGCAAGCTAGGGTTGCCACACTGAAGCCAGTACAATGATTGGGGGATGAAAGAGAAAATCAGAGGAGAGTTCATCTGTGGTTCCATAAACCATGGTTTACGAAGCTCTGGATAAATATCTGAACATAGTAAATGGTTGTTAGATTCACTATGATGGCAAAGTTAGTACAGTGGTACCTCGGGTTACATACGCTTCAGGTTACATCTCCGCTAACCCAGAAATATTACCTCAGGTTAAGAACTTTGCTTCAGGATGAGAACAGAAATCGTGCTCTGGCGGTGCGGCGGCAGCAGGAAGCCACATTAGCTAAAGTGGTGCTTCAGGTTAAGAACAGTTTCAGGTTAAGAACGGACCTTCAGAACGAATTAAGTACTTAACCTGAAGTACCACTGTATCAGAATTAAATATGGCATTGCTTATCAAGCAAAGTTATCTTAGACTTTAGAATATTTAACCTGTATGCTAGTTGCTTTGTTTCAGAAACATATTTTCTAGAAACTGCTTTGCCAGTTGTTTCTTCAGTGAAAGGAAGTAACTTCTCCCTTGTCAGTTCATAGTCAGAGCAATGGCTTCTTCTTGCCATAAATCACGGGAATCCTGAATTAACCCAATAATCTGCTCAAGGAGGAAAATATTGCTGCTATCTCAACATATTGGATAATACTTCTTAAAATAAATTAGGACTAGAACACCTCTCTTTTTTTGAATTTCAGCGAGCAGCATCCAGTCAAAGTCCCATTGACTTAAATAGTAGACAATTAAGCACATGATTTTAAGATTCAATGGGAATTAAAAATCAATGGAAGGTTAAAATGTTTAACTTCTGCTGGATTGTGCTCAGTTAGCACTTGGGCACTCTTTTGTTAACTTTCTGCATCAAAGGCAATATATTTAAGAATAAGCACACTGACCGAATCTCTGCAGTTAAGTTGTTCTTATCCTTACACTGCCTCTGATGTGGGAAGCGGAATTAAGCTTTTCAGCAATGACACATTGGTCAATTGATGAAGTTAAGAGAAACCGAAAACATACTCCCACCACAGCTGAAATGCCTTTCATCAATGCCTCCCACAATTCGCTAAATTGCTCGATGTTCTCCTTGCATCCACAGAGAAGTGCCCTGTGTTATTCTGGTCATTAAGAATAACTGACTTGAGCCTGTTTTCTGCTATTAGATAATGGCTATTTGATAGCTATAATTAAAGTGTAGTGTCAGAGCTGGCTCCAGGTCCCAGCTCACAGAGGACCAACGCTAGCCGGCAGTAATGTGCAAAAGTCTTTATTGAAGTACAGTTTCCATTTTCAAGCCGGAGCGCCCCAGCTCTACGTCTAGGGGTTAGATCGGCGAAGCTCCATCTGAGTCTCCGCCCCCTGTACACCAGTTTAAGATTCTAGCCTTACTCCACCTCTTACGTCTCTCCTTTCTCCTCTGGGTCCTGCTACCCCCCGGGGTCCCTTCCTTCCTGGATTCTTCTGACGCTGACCCTCCTGACTCCTCCCCCTCTTTTCGGCGGGCTTTGGGACCTGGCTCCCTATCCGGGCTGCCAACTGCGCCGCCCTCCTGTACATTTGAACTTGGCGCGCGCCCAGCCTTCAACCTTCCTCTCGACCGTTTCCTCGCTCCCCGATGGGGCGTGGCCAATCCTGACTCATGTCCTCCCACTGGCAGTGCGCCGCCTGAGTCCCGATGCCTGGGACTCCTCCCCCTACTGCACTCTGGTGTGGACGCTGGTCCTGATTTCCAACTGCTGCTCTGTGAGTCCCCTCTGGCCCCTTCTTCCGGGGGGGTCCCCCTCGGCACCCCCTTGCTCTGACCAAGGGAGCCCCTTTCTGTGAATCTTCCGATTCGCTGGAAAGACTCAGAGACCTCGGACCGCTGTCATCGCTAACATTTCCTTCGGACTCCTCCCCCCTCGCTCTCTATTTCCTCCCTTTCCTGTGCCTCTGCTCCTGAACCCCTGACATCCATCCCCCCCTCGAAGCCCCCCCATCCCCCCACCCCACCGTCAGGTGTGGGTACTGGGTGCTCCGGCGTTGTGGGGGTGAGTGCCGGATACAGGTCGTCCCCCCTGGCGTGCAACCAGCCCGAAAAGTCCGGCGCGTCCACCGTGCTCTCGCCGACCTCAATTTCCTCTGCTTCCATCTCTTTGCCGCCGTGCTCGAGCCCAAGGTCCTCGCCAACACGTCCATGTCCGTCTCTCCCCCGGTCTCCTCCGGGGACGTTGCCTGCCAAGGACCCCCCAACCACTTCCTGCGCCACTGCTCCTCTGGTTGATTGTCCCACCAATAGGAACGGTCTGAGGCAGACCCTGAGGGTGATCCCTCCGGGGAACGTGTTTCTAGTGCCGGTTCCTCGTCCGAGGTGAACCCCTGGAATGTGCTAGCTGAAACTGTGGGTGTGAAAAGCCAGTCGTCGAAATACTCGGCTGGCATGGGCCTGTGTGGGAAAAGTGCATGGAACTCGTCCTTAAGCCAAGATTCCTCCAGAGCATAATCTGGCACCCAACTGTTGGCGCTAGCCGGGGTACCTTCCTTGGCGAGGAGGTATTCCACTCCCTCCCCCCCCATCTCGAGTCTAAAATCTCTGTGACTTCGTTGACGGGTTCCCGCCTTGGCGACCCCCCCCTTGTGGGCGTTTCCCTGAACGGGTCTGGTGCCGTTCCTGGCTCCTGAAATCTATGAGGTGCTTTGTAGGGCGTGAGCACTGATCTATGGAAAACTGGGTGCATTCTGGATCCCTCCGGCAGTGTCAACCGGAAGGCCACTGGATTGACCTGTGCCTCGACTTGGTAGGGTCCTAGCTGCTTATGCCCTAGCTTCTTCTTCGCTAACGATCTGGCCGGCACTGCCTGGGCTGCTAACCAAACCCAGTCTCCCACCTGTATGTCTTCCCCAACCCTTCTGTGCTTGTCAGCCTGCAGTTTGTATGCGTGCTTTGCTAGTTCTAACTGCCTCCGAAGCTGTTCGTGAACCTCCTGCAACTCTGATGCTAAGGCTTCCGCTGCCTGTGGCTCCCCCTCCCCCTCTCGCTAATCCCGGGAAGGTTCTGGGATGCCTCCCGTTGTTGGCGAAGAACGGTGTCACCCCCGTGGACACGTGCTTCGTGTTGTTGTAGGCGAACTCAGCGGCGGCAGGTAGTCCACCCATGTTGCCGGCTGCTGATTTGCGTAGCATCGCAGGTACTGCTGCATGATGGCGTTGACTCGCTCCGCTTGTCCGTTCGTCTGCGGGTGTCTCGCCGGCGCTAGGTTGATCTTGACGTTCAGGAAACCCATCAGCTTCTGCCAGAAGTTCGAGATGAACTGTCGCCCCGGTCGGACAGGATGGACCGTGGCAGACCGTGAACCCTGAACACGTGGTCTATGAACAGTTTGGCGGTCTGTTCCGCCGTGGCCACCTTCGCGCACGGAATGAAGTGGGCCATTTTGGTGAACATGTCCACCACCACTAGCACTGCCGTCTTGCCCCTCGAGCTGGGTAGATCCGTGACAAAGTCCAGGGCCACCCTCTCCCACGGTTCGAGCGGTGTCTGCAGCGGTTCGAGCAGTCCCGCCGGCGGTTTGTGCACTGACTTGGCCCTTTGGCAGGTGTCGCACCTCGAGGCGTAATCCGCGACTTCCCCCGCATCTTGGGCCACCAAAATCTCTGGCTACTAATTCTACCGTCTTCTCTTTGCCAAAGTGCCCGGCGGTGGGTGCGTCGTGCAACTGCTGCAGTACTTTCGCGCGGAGGTCGTCTCGAGGTGCGTAGAGGGCCCCTCTGCGGATGAGCAATCCGTCGCGTATCTGGAACTCGTCGTCCTCCGCCGTGCCCCTTTGCACCTCTGCCATCTTTGCTTGCGCGAAGGGTCCGCCAGCAGTGCTCGCCGTACAGCATCCAGGTCCACGGTTGCTGAAGCGCACGCCCACGCTTTCGGTGCGAAAATGTGCTTGGCCGCTGCTGGTGCCGCCTCCTCGAG